GAGAAGGTATATATATTACTCAGGAACCTTATATTCCCTAGATTTAATCCAGTGTCGACCGCGGTTACATCTCAGAGAACCTTGTATACGTTTAACAAGATTCTCTTTAAACTACTTGTCTGTTATACTGTATTTTTTGAGTACTGTTTGAAAACTCATGTTGTTGTGAATAAAACAAATATATATTTTTACAAGAAGTATTTTATTTTCAACAGACAACAGTTGCGAATCCCATTGATGATTGATTGACTGCTGGGAGTTGAATTCTATTGAATGGCATATTTTCTTCTTTTTTTAAATTAGAGGTGACCAACCTGGACAACCGATGATTGGACATTATACTCAAGTCGTTTGGGGCTCAACTTCCAAAATTGGTTGCGGTGCTGCTTACTATAGGTGCAACATTCGTAACTCATCTGACGGCAAGGTGTATAAAGGAGAATGTTTGAAATACGTCTGCAATTATGGACCTGGGTATGTTCAGAAATAATTTGCATGTCATAACAAAGACACTTCATTTCAGCTCATATTTTTGCAGAGGAAATATAGGAGGAATGAAGCTGTACGAGCAGCCATGCAACCAAACGTCGGACGATTTTCCGGGCCTCTGTCGAATTGAGCTCTAAGAAAGAAAAAAAAGGACTCGCTGAAAGATGATTCAAATCAAGGATTTCAGCAGGAATATTTATTTAACAAATGTTGGACTTTTTCAATTGGAAATAGACGATATTTAAACATAAAAAGCAGCATTTCTCGAGCGTCCGCGAGATTTACACGGACGGAATTCGAGACGAAGATTTCTTGACTTTTTTGCGATGCTGCCAAGATTGAATGGGATGGACGTGGAATGAAGAAAACATTCAAAAAACTTTCGAAGGCATTCTTTTCAAATTTCTCCAGGAGAATAATCTCAGCCATATAAAGATGCAGATTGAATTTCGGAAAAGAAGCCCGAAAATCGTGTGTCCGAAAATTTAACAAACTGACTTCTGGAGACGATTCTGCTTTCCATTCATGGATAATATTATCGTATTACCTGTTTATTTCAATCGAATTCGCAGGGTTTACTGCTTCGAAGAGTTAGTTCTCACCTGCTGGTTAACAAATTCGAATGAAGTCTCAGAAAATACACATGGGGCTCTAAAAAGTTTCAAAGACAAATCAAATATAGCTTCAAATTCACCGAAAGAGCTCATTAATTAATTAAATTCGGGATGAAGTATTTTCCTTGAGTGACCGGATTTTTCTTGTAAATTTGTCCTTTTAGGAAAATTCTAAACAAACTTTTGAGAGATATACACCAGTATTTTTCCGCTTTCGTATTATAGAAATGATCACAATTGAAGTAAAGCTTAATGCTTGCAGTACTTTTAGGGATTAATCGACACGCTAACCTTTTCACTAGAAAGCGGCTAATGCCTACTTGAAAAAACATTTGCATAGACGTCCTTCAAATACTTTGAGGATTAAGTGTTTCTCTCGGAAGAAAAGATGCTTTATACAACAATCACGACCCTTGAATACAAATCGTGGCGCTTGAATATGCATCTTCTAGATTAATCCGTAATGCAGCCAGAAATCTCTTCCGCATATTTGCATGAACAATGGAAAAATGCGGAACGTTTCGCTGAGATCTAATCCCGCAATTTAGCCCTGCTTCGGTAATCAAAGCCTGAATTTGTACAGGATGACCCCCGATGCGAACTTCAAAAATTAAGAAAGAGAATGATGCTAAAAATAGGTTGACTGAAATGAGGAAGTCATATTTCCTGGGTCAGTGAACATTCGCAATGTACAGTATGCTGAATGACGTTGATGGATAAGCTGACAGATGATTCAAAATGTTCCTCGTTGATTTGTGAAATTCAGAATGTAAATATTGTGCAGTTTGAGTCGAAATCACGCGTTTTTCTGGATTAGAATGCAGTATGACGAATAAAAGCGAAATTTTTTACTGTCTGAGTTCACTGCAAATTATTAAGTCTGATTGGAAAAATAAAGATGAAAATGCAGAGGCTTTCCCTTTTTTAAAGTAATGAATTCCACCAATCGTTGGAAGCCATCTTATTCAAGTGGAAACTAGAAATATTACTTTTCCGCTTCCCATCATTTTTGAGCAGCCCTAAAAGTTCCCCTTTTTCACACCGAAGATGAAAATAAAAATTTAAAGCAAACTGGATCCTATCCGAAAAATGCTCCAATTACTCGGATATCCTTAAAAATACATTAAAAAACCAAGCAAAGTACATCGAGTATAATTAGAAGATTTCCTGAAAAAGCACGACTTACCGCTCGTTTTACGCGAATTTACAAGCTTCGTTTGACTACAAGGCAAACGTAGAAAAAACTTTGAAATTAATTGAAATACATCATGTCGATCGTCAATCACGAAAGCAGTTGTTCTTCTATCCGCCTCAACAACAAAAACAGGGGCCTCTTATCTTGAATCAATCTTTAAAATATCATCGGGAATCCCAAAATAAGCGTCGACTTTTAAGATTATTCCAACTTTCCGAACAACCCTCGTCGGCCGTCGGTTGACTGTATCCTTTCGTTCTGCGTTCTATGTTGTTTCTCTCCCACTGTTTCTCTTCTAATTTGGATTTCGGCACTTTCTTTTGAGCTTCGCCGAAAATGTGCAGGCGTGGCAGTGGCAGCTGTTGATCTCGGGAATGAAGTCGCTTCCAGCTGTTTGTGAAATTCAATGTTATGCCCATAGTAGTTAGTAAACGTGCGTCGAGACCGACGCTTCGAAATTATTATAAATTTCTCATCCTTTGAGCAGAAGTTCTTTCTGTGCATAATTTTGAATTATCTTTTCCTTGATAATCTCCCCCTATTCTGCGTGCAAGACTGAAACATTTCAATAGTGAGCCTCGCTCGAAAAAAAAAAAAGATCTGCTATAAAACGAACTTTTATGTGAACCCTTTTTTATTTGAAGCACATCGGAAAAGTGATTCAGTAGGATTAACTCTCAGAAGGGTGTCCAATTTTGCGAACCCGTGCCAAAAATAACATAAATAATTCGCATAAGATCCATGTACGCTATTATATATGCGTAACATCTTAAAAATTATTAAAAATTGTTGAAATTACATCTTGAGACACTTTCCAGATGTTGGGACACATTTTTCAGGCTGAAGTGTCCATTTATTGTTGCATTTATATTGTGTGCATGCTTTTTGCTTGGTCTTCTGTTTTTCCCCCGATAATTGATTTAGAATTTGTAAAATTGCCTTCATCCCTGATACTTCAGAATTTCAACACCGTAAGACACCTGTACATGTACTGTATATTCATATGAAATTAGAAAAATGACTTCCTCATTCATGAAAATCATGAATTTTCCGTTCGTCAATTTTTTTTTCTTTTGACAGACTTTTCCCACGTTTAGGGTGAATAAGAAAAACCGTCTCATTCTCATGAGAATCGCTGTTCAAAAATGATCATCACAGTGGGAGAATTTTACTCCATCCTCACAGTTTCATCATGAAGTCGTCCATCGAACGGCTTGGAATAATTTGGTGCCGTGACAAACGATTTGGTCAGATTTTAGTTTTCTTCGGAAATCCAAGCGCACATAAGAAATTAGTAACATGAAGCATCAACATCAGGCAGAATTTCATGGAAGCCAAGCAAAATTTTGCAGAACTATTGCGCAAATTGTTCTAGTGTTGAGGTGGTCTCTTGTGCTCTGCACTACTGAGTCACAGGACAATTACTCAACAGGCAAACGATTCGTTTCTGTGCACGTGGATCCTGAGGACATTGTTGGACTCGGTAAGTTTATCGAAAATAATATTGACTATTATCAAATATTCATAGCTTGAAGTTTCACAATTAAAAAAATTGGATAGAATATATGATTTTCACGTCCTGGAAAACGCAGAATATTCCGGGGTTCATGTGTCAATTATAAAGGAACAGCTGAAAAAGCAATCGGGAAAAACCACCCACCAAAGAGACACAAAGAATAGTTATTTAACTTGAAAGAATCGTTGTGCAGTTTTTAATTTGTTTTTCTTCAAAAATTCATGGTTCTTACGGAGGATAAAACGACCCTTTCTTGCATCTGAAGTATATTTAAACCCCTGAAAAAATCACATTCAATATCAAACTAATCAAGTCACAGTGAAAATTCCCAGAGCAATCTTGAGGCAAAGAAACTTTTCTTTCCATATTTGACTTTAAAGAAAAACGAAATATGTTTCAAACGTGCCAAAAATAGCGATCAAATGAAGAAATTAGTCTAGAGCCCTTTTAATCGCGTGTTTTTTTTCAGAGTTGGAGTTTTTGTTTCGATGATTTCCTTCTGTTACAGTCCTATAAGATCAGCACCAATTCAAATATTTGACAGGTTCTTTCATCCCACTTCTGAATAAGTCCTGCAAATACATCGCCCCGTATGACGTGGAGCCGCATTCTGCTTGTTTGTTGCCAAATCCTCGGATTCAAATCAGGCGTGTAGGAGTGTCACCTGATGAAAAAGAGTTGATTCTTCATTTGCATAACATTCTAAGGTCAAAAGTGGCTCAGGGACAAGAAAAACGTGGCCTGGGTGGTCGTCAACCCCCTGCAGAACTCATGCTGGAACTGGTGATGAACTGAATCATTTATATTTAATATTGACCGGGTGGCTGGAATAATGTTGTCAGGCCCAAACTTATTCTCAGACTGGAATAATCTTGTCATAAATTATACTTAATGTTGCAGAATGCTGTTGTCAGGAATAACCTTGTATTTATGTATTACCCAAGAACTTCAGGACTTCAGAGATATTTTGCTGTATTTTGCATCTATGCCTTACATGTACAGTGAGACCCCCCAGATGCAGACGTAATTGGTGCATCAAGAATGTCCTGATGTCGGAATGTCCCTAAGTTGAGTCTCATTTTTCCTTAGACTTTAATGCTAATGTTTTTAATTGGTTCTAATTTTTGCCAAAAATTAGAAATACTTTAAGTCTTCAAAAATGTACTAAAAGTTGTTTTCCTTGACTTGTACTTGAAGAAAACAACAGTGCAGAACAAAACCACATAGAATCTGATCTTTTGGTATCAAAAGGAGATCCAAAAGCAAAGAAAAAAGTGAGTCTTGTTACAATATGCGCAGATGATAGAAAAAACCCTGAAAGAAGAAGCAAAAAAGCAGCTTGTTTTTGATTATGAATTAGAGTGAATTTATCCTAACTTTTTAAAAATAAAATAAATAGAGTGAAAAATGTAAAAATAAAATGTTTTGATTTTTTTACATTCCAGAAAAGTGCCCGTAATTCAAGCCAATTTGCTGATGTTGGCCCTGATTTTTTTTTTGGTTTTCAAGTGTCCCTAAGTTGAATTTTGGGGTGTCCGCATACTGGGGTCTCACTGTACAAGGTTGGTCCAGTTGTGAAGTGCAGGAAGTTTTTTTTTTTTTACAAGTTTGTTCCAGGAAAGGCTTGATGACAATAATTCCGTATTGGAATGACAATGTCATCTCACTATATATCCCTACTAACCCTTCTGTGGCAAAGCTGGGATCTTTTTGCAAAATGGTGTGCCCAAGAGCACTGAAAGGAGAAAAAAAAAGGATCTCGGAACAAAGTCTCAAGTTGATGGAGAATATAACTCTTGTGCAAACATGATGAGTGGTATTCTCCTTATTTTTGCTCAAGCTTATATCACTTGACAGGTCTGGGACGATGAACTCGCCATGGTAGCTCAGAGTTGGGCTTCTCAGGGTTATGACCCTCGGCTGCGTAGTGACCTGATGCCAAACAATGCTCATGATTGTAACACTTGTCGTAGTGTCCCAAGATGTGAGCGGTGAAGCTCTAAAAAAAATCCCTAGTTACTCAATAATCTTTTCATTTATTCGTAATCTAGATGAGTATGTTGGGCAGAATGTTGCTTGGACAGGCCAGCCATGGCAAAAGGACAAAACATATTTGCCGAGCCGTTGGGAACATCACATACACCAACTTTATGACGAGGTTGACCACTTCAACCCCAAATATGTTCCCAGATTCAAGTAAGCGTCATTTCAATTTCTCAACACACACACAAAAAAAGGAAGAAATAAAATTCAGATTTGACGCATGCTCTTTGGAACGGTATATAGAACTGTTTTGTTTCATATGAGAATAACAGGTTTTCCTTCTTCTTCTTCTTCGTTTCTGCAAATAAATTTGATAAATTGCTACACAAAAGCAATAAGCCATTAATGGTGGAGCATTGAAAATTTAGTCTCAGTAGATTTTGACGGAATAATTTCATTGGCAAGTGTCAAATTCTAAGCTGTCATGAAAATCAGTTGTCCTTGAAAGTAGACCATCAGCTTAGCCTATTTTCTCACAAATAAAGGTACGGATGATGTATTACAGAGTTTTCCCCAATCCATGGTCACTAACTGGCACCCCTTGCAGAATATTTTGCAGGTCTTTGGGAAATTTTTTTCAGCATAATACATTTATCAAAAGTAGCAATGAAATCTGTTATCTTTGTCTGAAATTTTAAAAAGGCCATGGCAGTTAAAATTACCAGATGAAAAACGGAAGCTGGCTTCTCTTCTAATAACACTCCAGACAAATTTTAACATGTTGAAATAAATTATTTTAATGTTTCATTCTGAGAAACCTTTTGTCAGGCCCACCATTCTAATTTTTAAAAAATATTCCACCATACCGGCTTTGTTGGTTCTTGACAATTTGAGCAAGATAAGCAGAAAATTTAAAAATCCATGTACCTGCCATAAAGTCTTTCAAGCCAAAGATGTGTTTCTGTCTGCAACAATTTTATGAAACTTTGACCGTCTGCAAAATTTTTTATTATTTGCCGGTCCTTGAAAGAATTTGTGGAAATTTGCCGGTCCTTGGGCGCAAAAAGGTTGGTGAACACTAAACACTGATGTAATATCTTCCATATTTAGATATTCCCGGAAGGCCGGAAAAAAAGAATATATGATCGAAGTGCCCTTCAGCCAAATTCAGAAGGCCACGTTTTACCAGCACTAGAGGAAATAATCCTCGATTCTTTCCCAAATCCTTGCAAATTACTGTCAATATGATCCAAAAATGAAGGGTTTTGCATTGGAATTTGGAACGCGTACTTTTGCTATTCCGCTTTAAATACAAGCGGATAAACGCTTTTTCGCGATATAAACATATACGGTATTAGCATGAAGAGCAAAGCGCATCCATCAAATGCCGGATTAGTGGATGCAGGCAGCTGCTAATTTCAATTAAGCCTGTTTTCTGGCGCAGAAATTAAGGTGGAGATTATTGTCGGCGCATGTTGAACTCGAGATTGATCCACGAAACAAGTCCACGGGTTGAGCAACAAGTGTGCGAATTTTATACTTTGGCGAAAGGTTAATTGCAGAGCAGTAATGCTAATTTTGAAGCATAAATTGAGGGATTTTGGGTAATTGGACAGTCGCTTTTCAAGTTGCAAGCGTGTGCATTGTAGTCAAATCTGACGAATGTTCGTTCTTTTTTCTTCGAAAAAAAAAATGCAGACGGAGTAAAGGGGATTGGCACATCGGTCATTACACGCAAATAGTCTGGGGAAAATCTGCGAAAATCGGATGCGGTGCTGCATATTACGATTGCATGTTTCAAAGCAGAAAATCAAACCGAACTGCTGTTCCGGGTCAATGCTTGAAATACGTTTGCAATTACGGACCCGCGTGAGTATCAAAAATTACTAAATATTTTTTATAGCGTTGAATATATGTTTTACAGATGCATCATGCTTCAATTTTCTTTCAAAATTCAGAGGAAATTTTCCCGGAGAACCGGTTTACGTTACTCCTGCAGCATCGAATAACCAGTGAGTAGCTTTTAATTTCTCTATTACACATATTTTCCATGTTGAAATTTTGAGCTCGATTTTTTGCGTATCCTGGACGGAAATCAGGCTTTAAAACTATTTAAAAAATTGATTCTTCGCTTCCAAACCTATTTTTTCCTTTTCTTCACATCCTCAACTTTGGGAGAAATGATATTATTTACGGTGATAAATATGGAATCCACCTTTCCTGGTTTTTGACCTGACCGAAAATCAGGATTTGACTGACAATCAGTCTACTGTATTACATTACCATAGATCAATCTAACATCATTTCATCTGCAGCTTGAATTAACTTATTTGCATGAAGTTGAAAAAAAAATGGAAAAAATCAAGTTATTTTTCTTCGACTGTATATACAAGCATTGTAAAAACCCTATTTTTTGCATTAAATTTTTTCCCGGGAGTATCTGTTACATTTGTCACCAATCATTTATCGCCGTTACGAAATAATAGTATTTTTTTTTATTATAGTAGCAGTTTATACGCCTGATTTTTCATTTCCTCATTCCTCATTTCCTTATTACGAAGAATGTATTGTATCCTACAAACTCATTCAACGCCAAGAACCATCAGCTTTTTTTCAACGTCAACCGTTAGAAACTACTGTATGTTGAATCAGAAAATTGGTTTTATTTTAACATTCAATTCTTTAGTTGGGCCACTTGAGATTTTAAATCAATTTGTATTACTGTTTTATCTGTTTTTTTTTTGTTCTCGTATCCGTAGGGTTCCGCATTCTTACCATTTTTTGGTGAAGAAGGCTTTATTCATTTTTTCCAAATATTATCAACGCGTTCCAATCAATGAATGCTTCAAGCAATGAGAACGTCTTTTTGAAGCAAACTAGGTATGTTACGTAAGCTCAATCAGCTCTGTTTTGTGTGATAGAAACCATGTGGTCGCAATAAACCCGCCACGTGTGCTCTCAGTAGTTACGCAGAAAACGCCGAGAAGAGCTTCGCCTGACCTGGATAGGTGTCAAACAATAAAAGACTCTTGCTGTCTTTTTTTTTCTTATAATTATTCTAACTGACTGATTGGGGGAAGTTGTCTTTCGTGTTTCCTGTTTGCTCAAGGAGCGGGATGAAAGTGCGGAAATCCAGGTGCGTCGTGTCGTCGTCGCAATATCCGGGCCTTTGCGCGATGCAGACTTTCTCGGATCTCTTCTTCGACGTCGGGGCGCAGATGTCACTGAGGTCGAAGACTAGATTTGCAAATAATCAGCACAAAAGGAGACAATATCAACGACGAGTCGCGACGGGAACGAGACGGAATACGGTCGGGATCGAGGCCAATAATAATAAGCGTCGTCGCCAAAGGCCGGGGAAATCATCGTTGCAGCGTCCTTCAATTTGGCACAAACCAAATTTGCAATCGGGAACAACGATATCTGAGAATGAAGAAACCTGGGCGAAAGTCCGAGATTTGTCTAGAAGAATCGACAAAATTAATCAGACAATGACGAGAGCCTCGCGTAATCGGCAATTGATGGTACATCAGTTTTCATAAGATGACAGTGAAAAATTTTGCAGGTATATCAGCAAAATTTGTCAGATTTTCAGAATGTAAAAACTCTGATTCTTCAAACAAAACTGTCGCATTGACCAATTATTCAATTATTTTACAAGCATTAAAATTGAGCATTTGTCCGATTTATTCAACCCCGTACAGAAAAATATAGTGCATTTTTTGTGTGTTTCTCAGGTATCGTATGCAATGCTTGAGGAAGTACTGTACACAAGCACTGGGGTGAATACGTCAAGAAATACAAAAAATTGCTGAAGTATGGAAAATGCAAATTGAAAAAGATTTTCGAGATTTTTTGAAACCTTTCAAGGGAACCCAATTGAATTAATCCGAATTTTAATTTAATTTCATTTCATCAAATCGATATTTCCAGTCACAAAACTACAAATGATTCAACCCAGAAAACAACTGATTTTCAAAGATAAAATCATTTCATAAGTGCTACATGGTTTTTGTGACCATTCTGTGGCACTCAGGACCATAAAAGTTTATACCATTTGAAAAAGAATTGAACAAGCTTTCAGTTGGTGTTTTTTTTCATTGCCACAGCTTAATTTGCTATTGAGCTATTTCAAGTCAAAAATTGGTTCACTTTTTTTGGCCCACCCTGTACACAGAAAACTTTAAATTTAGTGTTATTAGACTTTTACTTTTTTTAGGGTATACATTTGACGATGAAGATTTGGTAAGTCGATGAATGAATCTTGTTTTCTTCCACCATACCAAAAAATACTGTTTATTGTTGTCAGCTATTCTCGGCTGCATTGAAACGCATTTCAGGAATTGTCAAAACCAGCGTGAATTTGACAAGATTTCCGCTTCTCAGTAGTTCATCGCTGTGTTGAAAAAAATCAGAAAGCCAACCCCACAAAAATTTAGTTTTTTCAACGATTTCTTGAAAATATTTCGGGTGCGCCCTAAATTCCATTGCATCTCAAATTTCTTAGCGTTTTAAACTTGCAGACACTGTAGAATTATTTGCAAATAAGTCGGGACGATCAAACAAATCCGAATCCTTCGCGGCTTCTCTCATCATTCAATTGTGTCAAATTTTAAAATCTAAAAATAAATGCTGCGTCAAGACTTCAGGCGACCTTCGGCAAAAATTGAGGATATCAAACCGTGCCAACCTTGAAACAATTCGTGCTTCATCCCCGTGCTTCCGCTCTTCGATAATTTGGACCGAAAAGCCACCCCACGTTCCAAAAATGTCTTCCCGCTAATTTAATTTATTTTTGCGCAGGTATCAGCTCGCTTCCTCGTTTAATGACATTTCGCAAAAACGTTTGTAGAAAATTGGTTTTAATGTGCGCCTGACGTCAAAAGATGATGTTTGTTCTAATTCCGACCTCAGTTCCTATTCCATGTTCTTTTCTTCTATAAAAGTGATTCTTTGTGGCATGAAGAAAATCCTAGATTCAAATACCTGTATATATTTAAGGGGTTTCTCGAAAGTCCTGCAAGTAGCTAAAAAAATCTTTATTGCAGTTGATTAGACCAAAAGGTCAATACTTTCAGAATTTTATTATGCATAAAAAGGTTTGCCATAATCATGAACAGATCAAGTCTTGAGATTTATGCACAAGTGCCTCATATTACAATAAAGGATCTGAAATTTTGGCATTTGCTTAGAATCTCAACAGGAAGTTTAAAATGCACATTTTATACTGTTTGGCAAAGGACGTCCTTATCCAAAAAAAATTAACAAACTTTTGCATGTGTTGAAAATTTAGAGGATTTAAACTAATAGACAAAATCCACTTTGTTCTGTCAAATTAAAAGAAGACAGTTTTGGATTTCACCAAAACTGGTCCTTGGGTGTTTAAGTGGGAATTGGGTGCCACCCCAATTCTCACAAAACCCCTGAAGAAATTTTTCTTAAGAATTTTCTTCTCTCATAAGATCTTTGAGGGCAATTAAATTGCTTTACAAGAAAAACGAGAAGGATTTCTCGAATTTCCAGTGCTCTTGCACAAAATGCTGCAAAAATATCCCAATTTTGCCACACGTGGGTTAGTATATCCTTGCACTAATATATTCTCAGACGCCCTTCATTTTGGGATCCATATGTGTGATGAAAAACAGTCAAGAAAGTGTGGTACAGCTGTATTATATACCATAAAACTGTATACACAATATTTTTATCTACAGCCTGCTATTTTTGGCCTGGTTTGTGTACAGTATACCGGCTAATAAGATGCCCAAGAGAGTGGGGCAAGAAAATTGTAGTCAGGCCGGGGATGAAGAGACGAAGACGAAACTGCGACGAAGCAACGTAATCAAACACCAGGGTCGGCAGCTAATCCGGGCTGTGGTAATCTACCCTGAGTTGCGACGGAGTTTCCCGGACGAAGATGCTACTAACGCCCATATATGGAAATGAAGGATTACATTAAACAATCCGGAAATAGCAGAATTACGTTTCTGGCTAATACAGTAAATGACAGATCTTCGCAATCGGTGCTCCGCGGAGCCCGAATAAGGGCTCCTTGTTAATATTCACACGAGAGCCGCTAACGGAAGATACTCGATAGAAATTGTTTTAATAGGAGTTACAATTATTTCAAGAAGAACTCAGAGGGAGATAAAATAATTGCTTTGAGGATTCCTGCGTCTGTAATTCAAGAAATTCAGATTCTTTGCAAACTTTTCTTCTTGTTGCTCAACAAATTTTCATTTGCAAGAGAGGGAATATATCTAAGGTTCTTTCATTTGTACCAGAATTATATTTATTTGCAAAAATTGAGATGAGAGAATGGGATGCATGTCATACTTGCATGTCTAAGCATTCCGTGAAATATCATATTTGGGTCATTCAGCAGAAAATGTTCAACTGAATTTCGAAGTGCAATTGTTTGAATGAAACCCAAAAACAAAAATCCGAGTTTAGCTTTAAATCGAGTTGGAGCCCATTGGCTTTCAGTCAATTTTGAACTTAAATTCCACATTTGTATTTAAGACCAAAAAAATTATTCATAAATACAGTACAATGTTTTTAAGCATAAAACTGAAATAAGCAAAGAACGGGATGCGAGACTTATACACAAATAAATTTGCATTTGTGTTTTTAGCATAAAAATCCTTACTATCTAGGTTAGCCTCAATAATGTTGAAAGTGAAAGAAGACAAAATACTCAAGGTACTTTTTTTTTAACTTGGTGCCATAGTTGAAATGCTTTAAAATAATGTTAGAAATTTGAATACTGTAATCCGTTTTATTGAAAATACATCTCCCAGATATTGAAATTAGGATTCAATGAACATTTCTTCATAATGTTTGTGTTAGTGACGTTCAATTTGAAATTATATTAGACTGGCGAGAAAAAAGTCACTATTGATTATTCATCCAACTGCATAATTATCGTTTGTCCAGATGAGATACAGTATTTCCTAAATATTTTGTATACTGAAGACTTGCAAAGGTACAGGATGAAGATGAATCTCTCTGAGGCTAAAAGAAAATTATGCATGGATTCAAATTTATAAAATAGACCAGTGGAATGCTGGCTTTTTCGTTATTTTCCTTCAGATGCAAAGTTTAATCATCTTCAAAGAATATCTATCCTTTGAACCCCCAATAACAAAATGATGCTTATAACTTGTAGGGCAATCAGCCCTCAAAGAAATTCGGGAATTTAAAAAGAATAAAAATGCACGATCCGCCGGGGAATACGGCGTGAAGATTCTCGGTGGAATCTTCGAAAGGAAAGGATAAAAATATATTTCGAATTAAATAAGATGATAAAGAGTTTAAAACCCACAAGGCTTGACAAAGACAGACGCAAAAATCACAAGTTCAAAGCACAAAGCAAGATTCACACATCCGAATGCTTCGAGGTTCGACAACGTAATGCCAAAAATAATTCATCGCGGAAAAGAAAGGATTTTACGATTGCGCAATTTGCGGCAGCGGGCACTTCCATCGGGATTTCCCGCTGTCGCATTCCTTGACTTCAAGTTTTTTATATTATTAAGTTACGTCTATTTTTCGGATTTTA